ACCTCCCTCCCTGCAGCCCCACTGCGGTAAAAATCTCAAGGCAACGTGGAGGCTCTTTAAAGTGTGCCTTCAACCAAACACCATTCTCAGTCCTGATTCAGAGTTTACCTAAGAAACATGCTTTGAAACTACTGAGATATTGCACAGCTGAACATCTAGTTGCTTTGAAACTGGCTGAGTGAGGTCAAGTGTTCTCAAAGGCAGATGACCATTCCTTCTTGACAGAAGTGATGACCATTTCCTACCCTTTGGTGTTTTCACTGTTTACCCAAGAAAACCTCTGATTATGGCTGAGGAACCCACTGGAAAGTCTTCTCTCTAAGGCAGACCAGACTGGCTCAAACAGCACGTTTGTTTCAGCGCCACCGGGCTCTGCTGCTAAGAAAGCATCGCCCACAGCCATCTGGGGTGTACCCAGCCCCCCTGCAATGCAGATTCTCAGCTTGGGTTTGTGTCTCTCTGAACCTGCGGTGGTGCAAGTGCAGTTACTTAAATTTCATAGGAAGTGTTTAAAAGGGATATGCACCGTAGCATTTAGAATCCTGATCCAGGACTAATGGAGGTTAGGCAGTGAGTTTTAGTTGATTCCTACACAATGGTGCTTATTACATACCAGGCCCTGTTCTAAGCACTTTGCATATATTAACTCACTTAATCTCATGACAACCCTAGGCACTAATACTCTTAAATGCCTTGTTATTCCCCATCCCATTTTAAGAGATTATTATAACCCTGTTTTACATGCCCCGTCTGAGGCATAGTGAAGCTAAATGACCTGCCCCAAATTCCACAGCTGTTAAAATGCAAAGCCAAGGAATTGATCTGAGGTGAAGAAAAGTGCACTTTGAAGCCTAAAGCCTTAAAAAGGAAATTAATGGCTCAGACAAATGCCAGATTTATGAATAAGCAATAAATAATGGAAAATAAACTTGACCTATTGAGCTGGCAGAGACACATTTGAACCCAGGCAGTCTGGTGACAGAGATCACTTTCTTAGCTGCTACGCTGCACTACCGCTTTAAATACATGGCAATGTGAAGGCTAAAGCAAAGACATCCTGTTCAACTGACTGGGAACATGCAAGCATCCCGAGTCTGGAGACTGTTATAGTCCTTTGTACCCCTCAGTGCTGAGCAACCATGACATACTTGACAACACGTATAGATGGATGATAATTTTCCCCAAATATTTATATATATGCAGCAAACAATGCTAGCTCCACTGGGGCCTTAGCCACAGTGACGTTTATGTGGCACACAGAGCAATTATTACCAAAGACTCATGGGTATTACTAGAAGCAAATACATAATGTTTGGAGATTTTATCATCGTTGGCCATAAACTAATTTTTTATTCATATTTTCCTGATTACCAAAATAACACATACTCATCAGAAAAATTCAAATATATAAATGATTGCTAAAATACACAAACCGTTCAGACATTACAGTGAAACACGCATAGCATTAGGACAATGGTTCAAAATAAAGTAATTGAGAGTCCCAGCATTTGACAGGCTTTGAAAGGTCTTAACTTTAAGAAGTCTCTCTCTTTTTAAGGGTTAATTTTCAGGGGAGGGGGATCTTACCTGATAGCCAGGTATATATAATAACTTTTAAGCTGTCTGTAAATGTGTCTTAGTGGAGAAATCTAATGGCATCTATGTATAAGAAGGTGAGACAGTGCATTGTTTCTTTAGGCATGAACTAAATTTATATAAACGCTCAGGTAAGTCCCTTGGAGTGGCTTTGATGTTAGGCCAGAGTGAGGACCACTTGGATCTGAAAGCATACGTCTAATCCCAACTATCTGCATTTTGAGATGAAGTGTGAGGGTAGGGCTCCTGCTTTCAGGATCTTTTCTTTCTTCTCTAGTCATGTTTCCTCCTCAAATCATGTCCTACAGAAGGTTCCAGCCCCCTCAGTAAAAGCTATCTGGTCTTACTCTAACTGACACAGTGGAGACGGCACCAGAAGTCTCATCAAAGACCAAGGGAGACTTCCGGCTTTACCACTTACTAACTGGGGAGCAGCTTAAACTGAGGGCATACCTCCACGTGCTCATTCGTCTATGAGCGTAGTGCTACTGCCCTATCTCTTTCGTGGGGTCATCAGGAGACTATGATAAAGTCAAGAATATGAAAAAGCTTTGCAACCTCTTCCTGCAGTGCATGCGGGTTAGAGGGTGAGGTGCTAATTCCTCACGGCTCGAATGTTTGCCTTTATTGGGAAGGATTGATCTGAGATGGAGAAAAGTGCACTTTGAAGCCTAATGTCTTAAAAAGGAAACTAATGGCTCAGACAAATGCCAGATTTATTAATAAGCCATAAATAATGGAAAATGAACCTGACGTATTGAGCTGGCAGAGGGACATTGGGTTTCAGATACTCCCTATTCCATCTCTCCTTGAAAGACAGAAAGGAAAGAAGGATGGGATCAAAGAAGGAAGGAAGAAAGAAAGGAAGGAAGGAAGAAAAACATTGTACCATAAAGAGGAGCATAATTCAAAAGGAGAACATAACTTGGGGACAAAGGCACTCAGTGAGAAAATACTTGTCCAGTTTCTCTTGCTAGCCTGAGCTCCTCTAAGGTGGGACTAGATCTTGTTCACCTTTGTAGGTCCTACTCCTTGTAAAGCATGTGTCATGTCCTAGAAACTATTTAAGATGAACCATAGGGCATTGCCATTTTTGTAGATTAAAAACAGCCTAACATTGGCAATGCCATATGTGTCAACCTAATAAGTGTTAGCTAAAGATGCAAGAGACCTAAGGGTCATATTCATTTAGCCAGCCTTAACCCCGAGTTCCCTCATTACATCTTCCCACCTCCAGCACCAGCTCAGAGAGGTGGGACTTCTCTTTCACAGCCTGTAAGAGTCATGCCTCTCTTTAAAGGCTGCCCTTGGCGTTCCCCGAACCTGAAAATTTATTAAGTGTATGCTGTACCAGTCTCTCTCCCTTATGGTCTCCATACTGCTAAAGAAATGGCCTCATTATGACCCATATTTAAATTCCCATTTCATTTGATAAACACAATAGGCTCCAGTAAACAAAATGGGTGACCTGCACTAGGATGTCAAACAGACTTTTTTATTTCCCTTTTTTCTCTTCCCCTTCCCTCCTTCCTCTCCCTTCCCTTCCTCTCATCTTCTTTTCTCTTTTTCTTTCTCTCTCCCTCCTTTCCTCTCTCCTTTCTTCCTTCCTTCAAGACATGGAGACATTTTTTTTTCTCGTTCTATGCAGGTGAGCCTGAGGGAAACCACAAGCTTTTAGGCTGGAGAGGAGACCGCTGAATGAATTGGGCAGGTGAAGCTTATATCTGGGTTCCTTGAGAGGACACCTGAGTCCTACATCCTTCCTATAGCCCTTCTGATGCTAAGCATTAGACAGAGGCCATTGAATTGGATGTTTATGAATTTAGTGGATTTAAATTGAGATCATGAGCTTCCATTTCTCCTTTCATATATTTGTTTATTTTGTTTATTTTTGCCTGAAAAATGAGGTTTGGCAGTGTTAGGCTCTGTGATAAAATTGTGTAGCATTGACTTCGTAAACAGCCATCTTTGTATCATATCATGTCACTGACATGAAGAGTAGTATTGCAAACACTGTTTTCTTTTATTATAATAACTCTATACAGAAGCCTTGAAAGGTATGATTTTGTAGAATACATCTGGCCATTAGGTTCCCTTTGCTACAAAACAAGCAACAGGAGAGAAAGGGGTCTGGTGGAGGCAGAGTGATAACCGTGTGAACACACTGGAAATCAGGCTCAGTCAAAGGACAGGCACTTTTGTCTCCTTTGTTCCCTGCTCCATCCTAGAGCCTAGAGCAGAGCTGGGGATGAGGTATGATGAGAGAACAGGTTAAAGTTGACAGAATGACTATGACACTTACATCTCTTGCATCTGTATCTAGAACCAATCAGATACATATTAGGTAGGCTGAGAAACAGCTGTTGAAAGGATGAAGAGTCACTGCAATTCAACTATCAAGTAGATTTTCTCCTAATTCCATAACTGATCAGCTCACTAGGCATATATCCCCTCCAAGACAGTCTCCTCAATTCCGAAATGGGGATTATCGTGCCCGTTTGGCAGGATTATTGAGAGGATTAAATGAAAAGTGATGTAAATGTGAGTGCCTTTTCTTTCCACACTCTTCTAGTTTCCTTAAAATATATCTGTGCATATGTGAGAGTGTGTGTGTGTGTGTGTGTGTGTGTGTGCACGAGTGTGTGTGCTTGCTTGTGTGTGTGTGACTGTGTCTGTCTGTAAGGGGTGAGGGAGGCTAGAAGAAACAAGTGGCTTGGGTCATGTTGTTCTGGGTTTCTCACCCCCCAACTATGCCACTGTAGGCTGGAGAATTCTTTGTTGTGGGGGGCTGTCCCATGCAGCAGCTGTTTGGAAGAATCTCTGCCTTTTACCCACTAGATACCAGTTACATCCCCCAGCTGTGACAACCAAACATGTCTCTCGATATTGCCAAATGTTCCCTGGGAGACAAAATTGTTCCCTGTTAAGAACAACTGCTGTTAGCTGTAATCACCCATTGAATAATTAAGTATTTCACTGACAAGTTGATCAGGTACTTTGAAGACATCGCCTGTGGCTATATTACGTTTAAATGTATATAATAAAGTGAGGGCTTATATAGAAGAAAAAGCTGATATCAAATTAAAGTATATAGTCAATCCATAATGATCCATGAAGTGAGTGATGATATAGATAATAAAAGAAGTTATTTCAGGCACACAATTTCCCTGCATTAGATTGCTTTTCTCATTATGGTTGGTTTAGGATAAAAATATTAATAATAATCAATTTCTTGAACACCCTCTGACAGACGTCAGGGAAAGATGGCAAGCGTGCATGGAGAGAAATCATTTGGGTTTCTTAAATTTTTATGGCCACTCATAAAGTAGGTGCATTAACCACAGATGATCAAACTGCATTATCCATTAGCAAGCTTAAAAAGTAATAGCAACATTCATACTTACAGGTGAATTAATGACTTTAGTCCCCGGAAAGTATGTCTTGAAATTGACTTGATGTTGTTGTTTTCTATGAATCTGCAATAAGTTATAATATTTTTTTGTCAAACAGTTACAGGGACTTGAGAGTACTTGTCCTGAATCATCATGTTTAAAAAAAGCTTTTTTACTTACAAATACTCTAGATGTGGAAGACCAATAAAAGCATCATCACTGATCACATCAAAGGAGTTCGATGTGAATAACCTGCCCAGAAAAAGTACACAATGAAAATGGTTAAACTGACAGATTGTCAATCTTTGCTGCTTTTATCTCTCAGAAAAATGAGTGGGAATTGTATACAGAAAAATGTCTGCATGGCTGTCTGCTATAGTGTTAGTTATGCAGATAATCTATGCAGCTTTTTTTTTTTTACTCCTAATCATCTCCTTATCAAAGGCTCATCAAGGGCTGCCTGGTCCCCGACTCCTCACAATGACTGCCATATGCCCTGGGTGACATTTTGAGATACAATCAGAGCAGGTATGCTAGCTGAAGCAGCCAAAGCAACGTTTTACATATTTTCATGACAAAGGCACTAACAATCTTTTCTGCTTGTTCTAGAAACCTCTGGAGTGTTCTGACTGGCAAAAACAATGGTGCTGTGGGGTTTTTGGCTTGGGAAACCTAAAAAAATTAAGTTGTATGCCCAGTTGTGCTAAGCTATCTCGTAACAGACAGGCTATTAACACTGGCTCCATGAACATCAACCAACCTTCTCCTTTGCAAACAGACTCAAAATGGGAAACATGAGGTTTGGGAAGAGTCTTAGACCCATTTTATTACCAAATAGTTGAAGAAATCACTTTTACTTGGACAAATTTATTTGCAATTTCAAAATCCACAAGGATTTGGTTTCGAAATTACTGATGAAAAAGAACATCAATCAGCCATCCCACACCCTGTTGAACTCCTTGGAGAACTGAATGACAGGCTTAAAAGAGATAGTTTTAGACCAAACAGTACAATAATATATTATGTCATAATGTAATAATAATAATAGTAATTCTGTTAGTAAAGATTATCACTTTTACTTTTGAAGCAGGGGATTTCATATAACTGCCACTAAAAATCTTAGTGAATTCACCTCTGAGCCTGTGAACTAGAGGAATTAAAACTAAGAGATCTTACTTTCTGAACACTTATGAGTAATTTATTTGTCATCTGGGATCGCTTCAAATAATCAGAGAATAATCAAAGGAGGGGGACAGCAAGGGGTTAGAGAAGAATTGGCAGGAGTTGATAATTTTTGAAGTTAAAAAATGGATACACAAGAGTGAATTTTACTATTTTCTCTACATTAATATATACTTGAAATTTTTCATAAAAATGCAAGCAATGGGAGATAGGAATGAACCAACCAAACAAGATGAGATGATCTCTTGCATTTCTTCCTGAACTATCAATCCTAGAGTGTTGTTGGATTGTCTTCTAATCCCTCATGCCTCTAATGTCATGGCTTTGTACCCAAGTAATTCACTGGGCTCTGAAAAGCCAGCACTAATGAATAGTAATACATGTTAGAATTCCACAGTTACTAAAACAAATTCAAAATGGTATGATTTTCATCACAGCTTTGGCAATCGTGTCTCTTCTCACTTTGTGGCTCTGGAAAACAAGAAAGCTGCTCAGCTTGACTCCAAGGTAAGCTAATATCCAAAGTCTTCCTTAGGTTCCAGATTTGCATTGCATTCTGCACAGGCAGCATCAGCGGTAGAGAGAATGGAATCAGGCAGGAATACGTATATACAAATATTATACCTCCCACTCTCAGTGATCTGAAAAATGGCTCATGGACCAGGGACTTCATAATCTCATATTCCAAGTTGCCAGAAGAAATAGTTTCAATTGCTGCTTCCCTTTATGTGAAATCAGATGCAGGACAGGGTGGGAAATGAGTATTGGTGGGCAGAACTTGCCCACGTATGTCACAGGAAGAAAAGAGAGGATTTCCCTGGACTTTTTGTCTGTTTGTTCATTTCTTATCCCTAACATCTGTGATACCACCTGTCCTATAGTGGATACTGATTAAATATTTGTTGAACAAAGAGGAATGGACTTTACATTAAATTCTGATCATTACCGTATAACTGGATTAAATGTTTCTTACAGCAGGAATGTGCCCTTATTTGTTTTTGTGTCCCCACCCCGGAGCACAGTTCCGGACTGAATAATGTGTGTTGAACTACATTTCAAGGACTAAAACCTCTGATGAGAACTACAAATACATATGCAAAACTGTGGATGAATATTCAAGAAGAGGAGGCAAAACACAATAAAGTGCATCCTAGATGACTGTACTTATATAAAGTACAGAAACTAATCTGTGTTGCTAGAATCAGGAGAGTGGTTACCCTTGGAGGCAAGGAGTAATTGGAAGGGAACACAAGGGGCATCTTTGGGGTAACGAGGCTATCGAGTTTCTTATAACCAACTGGGTGCTGGTTACAAGGGTAATGACTTTGTAAAAAGTCATTGAGATGTACATTTATAACGTGCACTTTCTCTTTATGTATATTATACTTCAATTTAAAAGTTTATTATAAAAGCTAAAAAAAAAAAAACCACCCTCTGGCTAAGATAATAATGAATACCATAATCTCTCAATGCTAAATTCAATTGTAGTTTCTATGGAAAGAGGTATAAAATTATACATACATTCTAAAGATAGTTGAGTGGGCTATCCATTTTATTATCCTACGTGTACTTAAAAAGACTCCTACATCATATTCTATACAGAGGATGAAACTCTGACCCTTAATTTGTATGGATTCCTGTAAATATGTTAGATTTTATTATTGTAATTTGTTGTTGAACTGGACATGTTAAAGCATTCCATAGTCTCTGTTAAGGGAAACTGTGCCCTCCCCCCACCTCACCAATGCAGAAAACAGAACTGGGGCAGACCAGGGTGGCCATGTTCTACACTACACAACCTCTGTCCCTTTCCACAGAGTAGCCAGTCTCTACATCAAGCAGCATCACATGGCCCAAGTAGCCTGGTTTAAAAAGGTGAGTTGGGGCTGGGCGAGGTGGCTCTTGCCTATAATCCCAGCACTTTGGGAGGCCGAGGCAGGTGGATCACCTGAGGTCAGGAGTTCGAGACCAGCCTGACCAACGTGGAGAAACCCCATTTCTATTAAAAATACAAAATTAGCCGGGGGTGGTGGCAGGTGCCTGTAATCCCAGCTACTTGGGAGGCTGAGGCAGGAGAATCGCTTGAACCCGGGAGGCGAAAGTTGTGGTGAGCTGAGATCACACCATTACAGTCCAGCCTGGGCAACAAGAGTGATACTCCATCTCAAAAAAAAAAAAAAAAAAAAAAAAAGAAAGAAAGAAAGAAAAGAAAAGGTGAGTTGGGCTCTTGGGGACCTGGAATTGGCAGACTGAGAAATGGAGCCAGCCGGTAGCAAAGCCAAAAATTAAAGGATCCCTTAGGGTTGAGTTGGATCTATGGCAGGTAAAATTGTGTGCAAAGAATGTTTAGAAGAATGCAGAATTGTGCAGAAGACCTCACCAAGGGGAGTGTTTTGAAGCCTGGTGCAGGAGAGATACCTAGATCTGTGTTGGAACCTGAGCCAATGCTTCTGAATCCTGCTTGCTCTTGGAATCACCTGGACAGCTTTAACAATAAGGATACTTGGTTTCCACTCTCAGGGATTCTGGGTAAATTCTAAACCTGGGGTGTCACCTGAGTTATTAAGAAACTCCCCAGGTTACTCATATGCAGCCAGGGTTGCACCTGGTAAGCTTACCAGGTCAATCAAAACACTGCCCCCTTTACCTGTGGCGACCCAGGGGCCTCTGCTCCTTGCAGCAAGTCTCCTGGAGCAGTTGCTGTGGGCTTGGAGGAGCCATGGCCTTTCCTGTCCCTATAACTATGTGTGGCCAAGAGTCTGCAATAATATGAGTTGGAAGTGACAACTATCTTCACAACAGCAGCATCATAGAGGGGTTTGTGAAACCAATGTACTATCTAAATGGCCTCTTTACTCTGAGCCACAGATCAGAGATCTGGACCCTGCAGGACTGCCAAGCAGCCAGCCTGTGGGTTTGTGCAGAGGTGGTGCGGAATTTGCCCTCTGCCCCAGTTCCATGGGAACATTGAGGTTTCTCCTCTTTCTTTAGGAGGCATTTTCCTACGAAGCCAAGCATTTCCCCCTAGAATTTTGGTGGAGGTGGACAGAGGGATGTGCCTGATCTGTCTATACCTTCCCCCAAGGAAGGACTGTGCACTCATTAATTTGGTTAAGAAAAGGGGCTGTGGGAGGAGAGGCAAGGATATCTTCTTCTGTAACCAAGGGAGTCCATGTTTCCTTACCAAGAGGGAGATTTAAAAAATCATTTATATGAACTATGAATTCCAGGCAGGTATTAGCTCATTCTTTGAATAATGATCTTTGCCTTTGTAATAGCCTACATGTCATAGACTCCTGCCTGGATTGTTTTATTTTGTCTTTAGAACAACTCTGTGAAAGTGGTAAAGCAGATAAGATCTATTTGACAGAAGAGGAAATGGAGGCATGGAAGGCTTCTAAACACTTTCCTTAAGGTCACAAGGCCCAAGACCCCTGGTTCAGTACTCTTTTCCACACACTGGGTGGCCTCTCAGTGCAGGTCCCAGGTCACACTATGACATAATGTCCATGTTCACGTGAGCAGCCATAATAACACCACTCAGCTCATATGGATTTAAGAAATGTAATTAAACCATAATGTCTTTCTTAGAGGAATTAATTAATCAGCATAAGCAGTCTTACAGCCACATCCAGATCATATCAATCTGTTTTTTTCAAGTAGAAAGTTTAAAAATTTTGAATACACTTTTTGAAGTTTTTCTGTTTTTTTTTTTTTTGTTGTTGTTGTTTTTGACACGATCTCACTCTGCCGCCCAGGCTGGAGTGCGGTGGCATGATCTCAGCTCACTGCAACCTCCACCTCCCCGGCTACAGCAATCCTCCCATCTCAGCTTCCCAAGTAGCTGGGACCACAGGTGCACAAAATCAAGGCTGGCTAATTTTTGTATTTTTTTTGTAGAGGCGGGGTTTCGCCATGTTGCCCAGGCTAGTCTTGAACTCCTGGGCTCAAGTGGTCCACCTGCCTCGGCCTCCCAAAGTGCTGAGATTACAGGCATGAGCCACTATACCCAGCCTTGAATACGCTTTGCTGAATTCTGTTTATAAATAATATATACTTATTGTAGAAAT